GTGTGTGTGTGTGTGTGTGTGTGTGTGTATATATATATATATATATACACACACACACACTGTATATATATATACTGTATATACAGTGTGTGTGTGTGTGTGTGTGTGTGTGTGTATGTATGTATGTATGTATGTATGTATGTATGTATGTATGTATGTATGTATGTATGTATGTATGTATGTATGTCCTGCTGTGAAGCAGGAAACATCTCTCCTTTGTTGGCCAAGGTAGGCTGTAGTACCCATGCCTGGTGATACAACTTTCCTATTCCTAGTGCAACCAGTGCTTCACTTGTAATGAAGCTACTCTTGCCTTTAACTACACCACCAGTTCAGACCTGAAACTACACAGCACATGCCTCTCTTCAGCAAAGAGAAAGAGAGGAGAAGCCTGTGAAGCAGGAAACATCTCTCCTTTGTTGGCCAAGGTAGGCTGTAGTACCCATGCCTGGTGATACAACTTTCCTATTCCTAGTGCAACCAGTGCTTCACTTGTAATGAAGCTACTCTTGCCTTTAACTACACCACCAGTTCAGACCTGAAACTACACAGCACATGCCTCTCTTCAGCAAAGAGAAAGAGAGGAGAAGCCCTATTGAAAATGCAAGATTTATATTTAAAACATTGACAGATAGAAAGTTATTTCTTTCTGAATTAGAGAGGCATTTTACTGCTCATCTAGAAAAGTTTACTCAAAGGCTGACCACTGAACTTCCAGGAAATGCTGTTAACACCCAATGTGACATACAGTATAATCTTTCTAAACAATATCCAAAACCCACATTTCTTATCAGGGTGACACCTTTAATTAGTCAGCATTACTGTTAATAATTGTATACACATTTTTGGGGTTACTACCCCTTCATCAAACATGTTAGAAAAGGCATGGAGGATAACAATTAATAAAAAGAAAAGCATTACATAAATAAATAATTGTAATATGGGTTTATATTCACTTAACTCTGTTAATTATACTGAATTATGCAGTCACATTTAATGCAGAGGCACCAGAAGTTATCTGCCCCAGAGAACCCTGACAGACAGAAAGAAATGTCAGAACGCAAACCATACATATACTGTATATAATAGACAGCAGCTTTCTTGAAAGCCCATAGATTTTGGCTCTTCATTTCTGATAGTTGTCTGACACTTCTTTCTCTCTCAAAAACGCTTCAGGCCTGTCTAGCAAATTTCCTTAGAAGCAGCCTTCCAAGCGAAGACAGTGTGGTAAGCTTAAAAAATATTCCTCACTTATAAACATACAATTTTATTTTAGCAAACTAATAATTCCGAAAAATGTAACTGAACAAAATACTATTTATTTAGACTAAAAGATAAAACAAGATTTGATATGACAGAGATAAAAGGACATATTCTGGGAAATACAGTACGGGCTTTACCTACTTCCTCCTTCCCACAGGGGAAAACAGCAACTCTTGTCCTTGCTTGAGTTAAACAACATCGGTTAACGTTTTGATTCAAGGGAGACTGTGCTCGTACCATTTTAAAAATAAATGTCGGGCAAGTGACATTTTTGCCCAAGAACCTTCCAAACCGGGCCACGAGCCCCACCGTAAGCAATGGGTGTGGAGGATCCCGTTGACAAAAAGAGAACTTGCACCCATGTCAAGCTGCCAGGCGGGAAGAGTCCTGTGTAGGAGCAGCAGCGGCGGCGGGTGGGGTGGGGGGAGTAGCTTCTGAGCAGCAAAACCCCTAAGGATTTTTTTTGCTCCAGCAGTTAAGGCCCGCTTTCTTTGTGCTTCTGTGGTGAACAGCCAGCAAGGGAACGCCTCAAGCAACAGACGACGGCTATGAAAACGCCCACGAGAAAGAAGAGTACGAAGGGGGGGGGGGGCTCTCCAGAGGACCCCACACCCAAAAGGAAGGAAGGAAGGAAGCAAGCACCGGGCTGAGCGGCGGGGGGGGGGGGGGGAAGCAAAAGCCTCAGCAAGCCGGAGGCAGGCCCCCTGGCCGACCTCCGCGCCGCAAGGCCAGAAGCGAGCTGCGCCAGGCCTTCCTTAAGATGGCCCGGTTCCTTCCTCAAGGGGAAGACGTAGCCGTAGAGCTGCCCTCAGCGGCGGCCTGTGGCAAAAGGGAGGGCGGGAAGCACGCCAGATTGCCGCCCGCCTTCTCGGGCCCTGCCGCCTGTCAAAGAGAAAGGGAAGCGGGTGGGGGAGGGGAAGGGGGGCTAGCCCCCCCCAAAGCCCTGCCGCATCTCACCTCAGGGAAGGTCCTCTGCGGCAGCTCGCGAGTAGGCCGGAAAGCGAGGGTGTGGAGGAGGAGGCGGCGGCGGCGGAGGGGAGGGATTCCTGCCGCTTCTTCCTCTGGCGACCGGTCGGTCGAGGTCCGCCTCTTCTTCTTCCCGCTGCCGCGGTCGCCTCACCCTGCCCGCGAAAAGGCCGCGGCCCGGCTGCCTGCTCCCCGTGGATCCTGCCGCAGAAATTCTCCGCTAGGCAAAGCCGAGTCGAAGTCCGTGGGGCTCGCCGTTTCCTTTCAGACCCTCAGAACCGCGGGAGTGGTACTACGGGGATTGAGCTGGCTTGGGCGACGTCACATGATCCTTGCGGGTCTCTCTTTGGTAACCCAAACGGATCCGGCACTTCATGGTATACAGCAGCCTTGGTGCAACAGGATGAGGCGGCAAAGGCTCGGGAGCAGGGGAAACGGACTATACCACTGCGAGGTGCAGAAATGTCATTTTGAACCCCTCGCCTCATGTAACAAAACAAGAACCTCCTCCCCCGGAATTAAAAAAAAAAAATTAGCCCTCGAGAAGAGGACGGCCCTGGTCCAGTCTAAACTTCAGCCTCCTGCGCTAATTTCCTGTTGCAGCCTGTAGTAGTAAGCCAGCTAACCAGGGAGATCTCCCAGTTTTTGAGACGACTTCCGAATAATCTATTTCCTTTTGTTGTTAAAAAAAAGTTTCTGACTTTTACCCAGATCCAGCTGTACATAAGTAATAAACTTAAGCTTTGCCTCAAAAACGAAGCAGCTTCAAAACATGATTTTTGGCTTCTTTGTTCAATCCCTTTTGACTAAAATTTTGAGTGCAATGCAATGCTAGGTTTAAGAAGAGATAAGCAGGAACATTTCAAAATGTATATGAATGTAAACAGTACCAAAGTATTTCGCAGAAAACACTTTTATATTTTATTTAACCAATAATAGGTTTTTTAAAGATCACCTCAACACTTTAATCACTTTCTCCACATATTCTATCCGCAACACACAGTACAATCCTATACCCCTCATTTTGGACTGTTGGAGGGATTAAGGATGATAAATTGATGTCACTGAGTTCAAGCATGTGTGGGGAGAGGTCTATGGAGGGAAGAAACAAACTGAAGAAGTCTCAGTTCTTCTCATTTTCTACACATGCATCATAAATCATTTTTTACTTGTCTTTTTTTCTCCACCTGGCCTTTCACCCTTAAAACACCCTCTCCACATGCCAATTTTTCATTCTGTCTGTTGAATTCATGCCCCCCATAGGGGGACCAAGGCGGCTCACAATATTAAAAGGCACAGAATTGAAAGCATAATAAAATTTAAAAAAACATTAAATTGTATACTAATTAAAATACAGCTGTATAATTAAAAGCAAGGAAATATTAAAAACTATCTTAATTCTAAGAAGGCATTCAGGGATTCAATTTTGTTGTTGTTGCTGAGTCCCCTTCTCCTCTTGCCTGCACTCTTTCTCAACATCAGTGTCTTTTCCAGGGAGTCTTCTCTTCTCATGAGATGGACAAAGTATTGAAGCCTCAGCTTCAGGATCTGTCATTCCAGTGAACACTCAGGGTTGATTTCCTTCAGAATGGATAGAATTGATCTCCTTGCAGTCCAGGGGACTCTCAAGTCTCCTGCAGCGCCACAATTCAAAAGCATCAATTCTTCGGCGGTCAGCTTCCTTTATGGTCCAGCTTTACATCGCTACTGGAAAAACGATAGCTTTGACTATGCGGACCTTTGTTGGCAAGGTGATGTCTCTGCTTTTTAAGATGTTGTCTAGGTTTGTCATCGCTTTCCTCCAAGAAGCAGGCATCTTCTAATTTCATGGCTGCTGTCACCATCTGCAGTCATCATGGAGACCAAGAAAGTAAAATCTGTCACTGCATGTCTTCCTCTTCTATTTGCCAGAATGTGGTAGGACCAGTGGCCATGATCTTTTTTCTTATGTTGGGCTTCAGACCATTTTTGGCGCTCTCCTCTTTCACCTTCATTAAGAGGTTCTTTAATTCCTCCTCACTTTCTGCCATCAGAGTGGTATCATCTGCATATCCAAGGTTGTTGATTCTAGATCTTCGAAAGCTAACTCCACAGAGGAAACGCTGTCCGTCTCTTCCTTGACTTCCCTCATTTGCTCGGGCTTCTCCAACTTGGGATGCTTCGTTTGGTGAACGTTGTGATGCCCAACCCAATCCGGGACATCCTCAAACAAACTTCTCAGTGCTTTCACATCCACTTTAGAGGTCTCCTCCTCAAACTCCTTCACTCGGGTTAGAATTTCTTGGAGTGCCTCTTGTTTCCTCAGGTTCTCAAATATCTCCATGGCTTCCTTAACGTTGCCTTTCATGATCTCCTCCTTGTGGACAGACAGTCTCTTGAGACGTTCATCTTCGGTTTCTCTGCAAGGTTTCTCCCGCATGACCACCAGTGGCTTTTCCTTCTCTGCGTTTTGCTCAGTTTTCGTGCCGGGGTCTTCTAACCCTTTGCTGTTCACACATTCATGCCCTTTAAAGAACTGCTTTGATTGAAAAGATGTGGAGAGGGTGACTTCTGACTTCTCCTCTTCTATATTCGGTCTTGTTGTCTGGTGATCCTTGCAGCCGAAGGCTCCAGGTACACCGATACATTCCGCCTTTGATGATGAAGCGTGTGTCGTGGTCGCTCCTTTCCTCAGAATATTCGCGTGGGATTTTGCAGAGAGATATGGCTTCCTCTGACTTTCCTGGTTAGCCAGGCTTGTTTGGCAACCAAGAAGCAGCGAACAGTCCTGCCTACCAGGTAGGACATTTGTGTTTTCTTGTTGGCATGATTCCACAACTCCTTCAACTTCCTTCTTCGGAGGGCAGTTGCCTCCATCACAGCCAGCTAACCCATTCTTCGTTGCCTGCGATGAAGCCTTGGGGTCAGATCCTTCCCCTTTGCACTGCTCTTCTTTCCCCGCCTTATATTTTGCTTCTGCTGCTTGCAGCGGTGTCTTGATGGGAGCCCTCGTGGCCTTGCCCTCACAGCTGAAGTCCTGAACGGGAGTGGCAGCTGAAGATGAGAGAGAAGGTCCGTCTGTTGAAGGCAGCCTAGCTGCTGATTGCTCCCACAGTTCATCCCCCCTAGATGTCCTTGCCCCCGCCGCTCCCTGCCCGACCCGAAAAGGGGCACCCATCCCGGGGCAGCCTCTTCCTCAATGAGAGACACACGTGAAGTGGTTGGTGAAACATAAACATTTATATTGAAATATGCACTAAACAGTGTCCAGGTCTTGTTTTTGCTGACTGTATAGAGCTTCTCCATCTTTGGCTGCAGAGAATATAATCAATCTGATTTTGTTATTGCCCATCTGGTGATGTCCATGTATACAGTTGTCCTTTGTGTTGTTGAAAAAGAGTGTTTGTGATGACCAGCTTGTTCTCTTGACAAAACTCTATTAGCCTTTGGACTAATATTAGGGATTCAGTAGTGATTGTTAAAAGCCTGCCTGAAAAGATGGATCTTCTTCAGCTGTCAGTGGAAGGATAAACGGGAGGGACTATCCTGATCTCCGAAGGAGAGCATTCCATAACTTGGGACCTGCCACAGAAAAGACCCTCTGCTGTGTCCCCATGCCTGCACTGTTAATGGTATCGATAGGAGGATCTCCTCTGATGATCTTAAACCCCAGGAAGGCTCATGTGAAGAAATACGGTCCTTCAGAGTGCCTGGACCCAAGCAGTACAGGGCTTTATAGGTAATGACCACAGTTTAAATGTCACAGTCGGGGAAAGAATTATTTGTTTTCCTGATTCTAAATAAGATATTTTATTATATCCATCAGTTGCATACATTAGGAGTACACTTGGGCAGTTATCACATTCTATGAAGTTACAAATGATCTTTACATTAATATTTGGCCTCTGTCCATTCTAACTATATGAATTATACTCCCAACTTTCCCATTGTATTTGTTGCTGAAGATGGATAAACTAAAAACAATGAAAAAATTTTTTGGATATCTGCACTGCTATAACAGAGGAAGGACACAACATGAAGCACTGCTAGTTCCTGTTTCAACTGTCTTTTATCCCAAACTAAGAAGTTAATCGGTTGTCTCTTATTCTCAGAGACAATAATAGCAGGAATACTTGGTTCCTGTTGTTATATACCATCAAGTCACCTCCGACTTATGGCAACCCATAAATGCGTGATCTCCAAAATGTCCTGTCCTCAACTGCCCTGCTCTTGTAAATTCATGCCTGTGGCTTCCTTTAGGGAGTCAATCCATTTCATATTTGGTCTTCCTCTTTTCCTGCACCTCCAACCTTTCCAAGCTTCATTGTCATTTCTGGAGAATCTTGTCTTCTCATCATATGCCCAAAGCAGGCCAGCCTCAGTTTCAACATTGTAAACTTCCAGAGATACTGTAGTTCGATCTTCAGGGTACCTGCAAAACTCTCCTCTAGCACCAGATTTCAAACAAACCAGTCATCTTTCTTAACGGTCCAGTTTTCACACTCATATATGGTGACTGGAAATAAGAGTATGGATTATCTTGGTTCTGGTCTCCAATGACACATCCTTGTTGTTGTTGTTTAGTCATTTAGTCGTGTCCGACTCTTCGTGACCCCATGGACCAGAGCACGCCAGGCCCTCCTGTCTTCTACTGCCTCCCGGAGTTATGTCAGGTTCATGTTGGTTGCTTCGCAGACACTGTCCAGCCATCTCGTCCTCTGTCGTCCCCTTCTCCTCTTGCCTTCAAACTTTCCCAACATCAAGGTTTTTTCCAAGGAGTCTTCTCTTCTCATGAGATGGCCAAAGTACTGGAGCCTCAGCTTCAGGATCTGTCCTTCCAGTGAGCACTCAGGGTTGATTTCCTTTAGAATGGATAGGTTTGTTCTCCTTGCAGTCCAGGAGACTCTCAAGAGCCTCCTCCAGCACCACAATTCAAAGGCATCAATTATTCGGCGGTCTGCTTTCTTTATGGTCCAGCTCTCACTTCCATATCTTCAGTTATTGCTGTTTTATTCCACTAATTTCACTCCTCCTTCATCTGAATCTAACTTGGCTTTCCTTACGATATGTTCTGCCTGCAGGGAAGGGGAAAATGCACCTTTGTCTGATACATTTGCCTATAGGAAACCATTATGTTTCTCCTTATTCTGTCCGAATGGTAGTTTTTTGTCCACAATACAGGTTATTCATCAAGGACAATCAAGTGTTGAGGTACACCCATTTTTTTTAGAATAACCCATAGTTTCTCATGATCCACACAGTCAAATGCTTTGATGTAGTCTATCGATTTCATACAGATCTACTGAAATTCCTTGGTCTGCTCCAACAGCACCAAACCAAAGTCTCTGCTCTAAATACACCTAGTTCCATCAACGGACCAGAGTACAAGATACTGTAGTTAAGCAGTAGCCTTGTATCGTGGCTTGTAAAGAGCAGGACAATCTCCTGTTATTTATCTCAATCAGTCAGCAAATTTATTTATTTATTTAATGACTTAATACTGAGGACTACTCTAAGTGGTTAACAGAGTAAAAAACAATAAACAATACAGTAAATAGAAAATTTTAAACATCCATGCCATACCAACACTGTTCATCAATAATTAAGCCACATATCATAAATTAACAATGCTCCAAATCCCAAAGGATGGTGGGAACAACAAAAAAAGCTACAGGTCTAGGGGACAATATCACTAAAAGAGACCATCTTCAGCATCCTTTTTAAAAATGGCAGAGAGGGAGCCTGATAGACTTCTATCATGAGCCTATTCCAAAAGGAAGGGGCCACAACAAAGAAGGTGCGATTTCGGGTGACTCTCGTCTTTGCCTCTCTTGGGATGGCAACCCAAAAAATTGAAGACTGGGTGACATGGGCTGATGTTTTCAGGGAAAGACACTCCAACAAATAATAGGGCCCCAAACCATTCAGGGCTTTATAGACTAAAACTAAACCCTTGAACCTGGCCTACAGAGAGTCAATGCAGACAAACGAGAACTAGCGAGATGTGATCAAACCACCAGTTTGTCCACCACATTCTGCACCCGCTGCAACCTCCGGGTCAGTTTCATGGGAAGTCCCACATCAAAAATGTTGCAGTAGTCGACCTTGAAAATCACCAGGATGTGTACCAAGGTCATCAAGTGCAACCGGGTTATTAGTCTAAGTTGGTTAAACATTGCTGTAGACACAGCCAATACCTGATGTTCCAAAGATTGGGCTAGGTCCAGAAGCATGCCCAACTTGTGGACACAGTTCCCAAGAGGAAGAGTAACCCTTCCAACTTGGAGAGGCTATCCCCTAACCATTCTGGTGGTCCTCCCAACAACATAATCTCTGTTTTCTCTGGACTGAGGTTCAGCCTATTAGTCTTCATCCATCCCATAACTGTGGACAGGCAGTGATCCGGGACCCAGACAGGCTTCCACTACAGAAGATGTAAAGAAGAGGTAGAGTTGTGTATCATGAGGATACTGAAGAAAACACACTCCAGATCCCTGGACCTCTCCCCAAGGCCTCACATTGATATTAAAAAGCATTGAGCGATAGATGACCCTTGGGGAACCCCAGAACTTAGGGTCCAAGGGGCTGACAGTTCCTCCCAAAGCTGAAATCTCTGGACCCAGCCACTGAAGAAGGATCAAAACCAGCTAAGAGCCAGCCTCCACATTGTGATCAACAGTATGAAAGACCACTGAGAGATCAAGGAACCCCTATAGGGCCATACCTCCCCTATCAGCTTCCCTTAACAGGTCATCCTGCAGGGCTGCCTTGGTTTCCTGGTGGGGCCTGAACAGATGATTTCCAAAGCCTGGAGTGGGCCACTTGGGGTGGACCCATGGCTGGTGGGCTCTGATTCCTATCACCTTGCACAAAACAGAACAATCATTTAAATTAGAATTGCTAACCATTTAGGTATTTGTTATGAACACGTGCATTACAGCTACTAGNGGGGTGGGGCGAAAAGGACTGTACTGAAACCAAGGACTGCCGGCAAAAATAACAGGCGTTTGCTTACGTTCTGTGAATTGATCCTGGGTGGATACTAAGAAAAAAAAAACCCTGCGAAGTCTCAATCTGCTCCTGGGGAAGGAACGTGACATGTGCATACCGAGGACGGCCCGCCTGCTCTAAAGGCGCCCCTTCCTTCCTGCCCCGGACTCTTTAAGGACAGGAGAAGGACCTTCGCCTCGCGGTGGAAGCCCCTCCCCCGCCATGGCTCCATAAATACTTTCGGAGGCCGCTGAGCGGAAGGATCTGGGCGGAGCCAGGCGGCAAAGGCTCGTTTGCGCAGTGGACGGAGAGGTCGCCCCGCCCTGCCGTTCTGTCCCTCCCTTCGGCGGGGCCGGCGCCGGTTTACGTAACGCCTCTCCGGGCAAATTCCGGCTTGGTCCCGCCGCCTAACTCGGGACGGGTCGCCAGAAGCCCCGGCAGGTAAGTGGGGGTATGGTGGGGTCCCCCCCTCTATTTGGTCGAGGGACGTTACTCTGTGTGTGTATGTCTCTCTCTCTCTCTCTCTCTCACACACACACACACACACTAACTCACACACTCCCCCCCTTGCTGGTTTCCAGAAGGGAGAGCAGTCAGGATCCAGGTCTCTGTCTCTCT